AGCTTTCGACCCAGGCGTGACCCGATGAGGGGCTGTGTGAGAGCCGAGTCCCAGGGGTGAGGCTGGGCTGCGTCTGGCTCTGCAGCTGCACCCGTGGTGAAGTCTCCTTTGGAGGGAGTTCAGAACAGGGAGGAGGTGCAGAGCTGAGTGAGGGGGAAACGCTCCCGATGGCTGGCCCCTCCACCTGCAGAGAGGAGCAGGAATTGTCAGACTGAACAACCCTGTTCTGTTGTCAACCAGGCCCTCCTCCAGGTCCTTCCTTTTCCCTGAGAGCAGAGGCTAGGCCCCGAAGATCCTGCCCCTGCCCCGCCTATTTCCTCCTGCCCTTTCCCCTCCCCTCCACTCCACCTCCCGGAGGCAACTCCCTTCAGATCCCACCCAGGGGCCAGACTCCGATGTCATTTACACTGGGGTGTGTCATCCTGGAGCCGAAACTCCATTGGCTTTAGTGGAGTGACTCTGGATTTACATTAATAAAGGCCCCAAACCTCTGGAAAGAGGAGGTGTCCCGAGACAGGGATACAACATAGCTCCCCAGTTATAAGCAGCTTCCCAGCCCCACTTGGGCTAGAAGCAACAGGTAGGGTGGGGATCTTGACTTCTGATATCCTGCCTCAGGCCCGATCTGCACTACGAAGGTAGGTCGACCTAAATCGACTTGTCTCAGCTCGTGGTGCATGTGTTTCCGCCTAAACTGGTTTCCTGCTGACATAAGCCCCCTATTACAGTGAGGAAATAACACCACCTGTCTGAATGACACTGGGGCATGGTCAGCCTCCTTCCGTCAACACGGTGCAAGAGTAGATGCTGCAGTACCAGTGTCCGCCCTAACAGTCTTCCAGCAGCTGTCTCACAATGCCCTGCATCATGGGATGGAAGAAGTGGCATTGTGCATACTTGACCCCCAGTTCCTAGCAAATCTCTGGGCGAATTGCTGGCGTCTCACAAAGCCCTGTGGAAGTGTCCCACTAGGCTTGTGCCAGCCAGCGGCATGGGGCACGCTGGAAAACCTACCCATGGTACACAGCTTTTTACATGGACACAACCGCTTGTGAGTACCCACAGCACTGATGTAAGTAGCCAAGCGTTCATGCACCCGAGCAATAGACAGTCAGTGGCTGCACACTGATGCAACGTGAGTTGACTGAACATTGTAGTGTAGACGTGGCCTCCAATTGCAGCTTACTGGGCTTTGGTCAGAAAAGAAGAAGGTGTGATTATTTTTCCTCCTGCACTGTTACCATCTCAGGTTCTCTCTGTGTCCCCTCTTCCTTTCTTGTCACGCACAGGCACTCTTGTTTAGGATTACTGGCTTTCCCCGCCTCTCCTCAGAAGCTCAAATAAATGCGGAATGATTATAGCTCTTTACCTCCCTTTCTCATGAAGATTATTTTGAAAAAATTATGTACCTGCCCTTGGCTGGGTCCTGCGGAACTTCCATCCCTTGGGAGGGAAATGGGGGCCCTGGTGGGTGTCTGGGCAGTGGGAAGGGAGGTCAAAGGAATGTGGTGGTAGGTAATTGCATGTCTTTAACATCGTCTCCACATGGGTCATCAGCAGGATTTGGACCCAAGATCTCCAGGACCCGTACGCAAATACTGGCTGGGTGGGGCCTGGCTTGAAATTGATCATGTTGAGCAACGCTAGCCTCTCTGCTCAGCGTTGTTAATCTGCTTTTGGCTTTGCCCCAGGGCCTCAATCCCGTGCAGCCCCGCACGGATGTGCAGTGAAACCCAAAGGGTGCCTGTTTTTGGCATGTGCACACTGGAAATTGAATAACCCCTTAGCTGATCCTGAACCCAGACCCACTCCCTCGGTCCCGTCCAGGATCTTCCTGAATGCTCTAACGAGACACCCCTTTGCTGCCTTCCCCTGGGGATAGTACTAGCATTCTGATTTTTAGGGTGAGGAAATGGAGCAGAGTGTGGTCAGGCAGACTCCAGACCCCCTTTTTGGCCTGAGTCCCCCTGCACCCTCAGATATGCACTAAGAGTCTGGGGAAAGGGACACTCTGTGGCTGTCCGGACATCAGCCATGTCCCCTGCTCCCGCACCCTTGGAGAGCGGAGCAAAGTGAGGGGCAAGGGTGGGAGCTGGGCCCTGCAGGCTGGTGGAGGCAGGCAGGCCGGGAGCGTACTCGTGGGAGTTGCTGCTGAGCAGACTCTTCCCTCTGCAGACGCGGCAGGTGGGCGGAACAATCCCGGCGTCTGGGGCTGACGAGATGGGATTTAATGTGTTGTGACAATTCCCAGTGTCGCTGGTGGCTTCTTTGGCTGGGCTGGAGTGGTGGGGGGGAGAGGTTGGGGGAGACGGGAGCTCCTCACGGAGGATTCGAGCGAGCCCGGAGTGGAGTTGGGGCAGTGACTCAGGGTAGCTTCTCCCACAGTGATGTGAGCGTGGGCTAGTGTACAGGGCTACTGGCCAACTGGGTAGGATCGTGTGCTACAGGGGAATGGCCAGGCAGTCGCGACCTGTGTGTCCGGGGAGGTGCTGAGCATTATGGGAAGGTCCCTGTAAAACTGGACTCTGGGCCAAATTCTCCTGTAGGTTACACTGCCGTAAATCTGGGGCAACTCCTCTGAGGAGGCTTCTTTGGCTGGACGCTTGTGTGGCTGAAAGCAGCACGTGTCCCTCTGTATCTCCCTGGTGGGATGGGGGAGGGGATGCATGGCCTCAGCTCTAGAGCTTTCTCCTCCTGGAAGCAAAGACCCCCGCCCCTGCTGATCCCTGTGCCCTGCAGCTCTCCAGCTCCTTCCCCAGGACATGCCCCACAGCTTGCGGACGCAGCAGCAGGGAACGGGATGCAGGCTGCACAGGGGATGAGGGGCCTGTTCTGTGCGCCCGGGGCCTTGTCGGTACCTGCTGCCCCAGCTGAACGGATGTGCAGAGCCCCCATTGCAGCCGCTGCTGGGCGGGAGCTGCGGGACTCAGAGTGATGCTCCGCGCCATCCTCTCCTTTCCTCCTTTCTCCTCCTCTTGACTTTGTGCCTCTCCTCCCCTTGCACTGGGCAGTAGCAGCAGCTGGGGGCCCTCTTAGCCCTGTAATCCAAACCATGGGGCGTGCACTGAGCCCTCCCCTGCCATGCCACACAGCTGCTCTGGCTGGAATCCCTTTGCACAGACTGCCCCAGTGAGCAGAACTAGGGAAACCCTTGGCATTGCCCAGTGGAGAGCTGCTGTCGTGTATGGCCTGAATGCAGGCTCAGTCCCGCACAGCGAGATCTTCACAGCCCCGGGGACTGACCGTTCTCGAAAGTGGCTGCTGACTGAGTGCCGTGTTTGGTGGGTGCTCCAGAGGGGCCAAGCACCCGCCGCTGCCATAAGCTTCGGCTGGAGATGCAGGTGCTGAGTAGGTTTGTGAGTTTGGGGCCTTAATTTGTACTTTAAAAATGGGGCTTAAATCCTGTAGGAGCTGGCGAGGCCAACCCAGGAGCCCCACTACGCCCCCGCCACCTGCAGCCCGGATCCCCGCTGCACTCCCACAGCCTGCGAGCCCCGCTGCGCCCCCAGCACTCCTATCTGCTCTGACCACAGCTAGCTCTCCTCTGGCCTCCCAGCTGCTACACTTGTATATTTCTGGGCATGGCTCCAGCAGTACGAGGGCACCGGGGGGAGCTGGGGGGGCTTCCGTTAGTCCCCCGGGTGTTTGGAGCCCCATTAAAGCAGAAGCTTGATGCTGTTTCTCCCCTGGGGGTAGATTGCTTGTGGCTCTGGACCGGGACTTTGGGAGGGGGAGGAGTCCAGCCTTTGCTGCCGAAAGGAAGGGCGAGGAAATAGCTAGACTGCAGGGTCTCAAGCTGGGCTTCTCTACCAGGTGTCCAGGGTTCCCTGGCTGGCTGGAGAGGGGGGGGTCCCAACACACTTCTCTTTAACCCGGGATCCAGGATGGGCGAGGCCAAGGACCACCATGCTAATAGTTTCCTTATGGAAAGAAGCCCCCCTGCTCGAGCTTTGCCCTGAGGTGTCTGTCCATCTCCAGGGTGTGTTCTCCTTGTCTTCCCCACTGCCCCCACCATGAGCAGGCCCCACCCTCCCCAGAGAGCCCTAGCCGTGGGGATTGCTTGTAGCTTCCAGTTGTTCCATAGCAAGGGATGCAAATTCATGCAGTAAACCCTGGTGACGGACTCCCACGGCTAGGAGTTGGGGGGCCCTGAAGCTGGGCAGTTCTAGGCTGAAGTGTTGATGTAACTGCTGGTAAACAAACCCAATGCTTTCGCCCTCCGAGACCATGGTGTTGCAATTATCTCCTGGAAATTAGAAGCATTTTTTGTGTGTTGCCCAGGAGATTCCTGCCTGGCTGCCTGTTCCCCGCGCCGGCAAGGTCTGGAGACTGATACCAAGGACCAGGATGAATTTGTGCATGTGTGCGCTGTCAGGAAAGATACATAACCCGGCTATAAATATCTGGGTTCTCAGCCTTAGTGCGAGGAGTCCTTGGGAATGTTCATCTGACGGCATAAACTATTCCCGGGCACGAAGTGGAGCTGGCTAACTGAAATGGCCCAGCTGCTGCAATGCAGGTGAGGGCTGCATGCCCAGAGGATTCCCCCTGGTCTGCGTCCGAGGCCATTGGAGTTAGGCAGAGCCCCTCTGACAAAGCCCCGGAAGTTGGGACAGTGATGCAGGCCGCTTTCAATCTGTGTCTGAAGTGCCTGGTGTGCATGGAGCTGGGCAGGGTCCCAGCGTTTGGTTGTTATGGGAGCTTAGCAAGGAGGCAGGGTTGGCACGGCGGTAGCCACAGAGCAGCAAGGTCTAGGCCGGGGCATCAAAATAGAGAGGCTCTCTGCTGCCTGACTGAGCTGGGAGCATGGGACTCCATCCCTCCCCCACCGCGGCCTGCCTAGGTCATTGCTGTGATGCTAACTCTGTGCTGTCTGGGACAATTCCTCTGCCACCCCCAGCCCCTCTGCGGTGCCGTGGGCCCACCCGCAGCTCCCTGCCGCTCTCTCTCCACCCTGCGGGTGCCCCGCTCACTCCTATTTCTCTCCCCCTTCACTGCAGGCGCTGGACATGGACACTGAGGATGACCCCTTGTTGCAAGATGCTTGGCTCGAGGAGGAGGAGGAGGAGGTTGCCTTTGGCCCCCGGAAGAGGAGCAAGGGTCCCCAGCTGTGTGGCAAATGCCAGTGGAATCCCAGGCCACTGCCGACAATGCTGCCAGCGTCCGGCTTTTGGAGCGTGCTTGGCTGGGTCTTCACCAACCCATGCTGCGCCAGCATTATCCTCTTCCTGGGCTGTGCCATCCCCGCTGCGCTGGCTGTCGTCATGTTCCTCCACTACCCTACCCTGGATATCGACATCTCCTATAATGCCTTCGAGATCAGGAACCACGAGTCCTCGCAGCGCTTCGATGCGCTCACCCTGGCCCTCAAGTCCCAGTTCGGCTCGTGGGGCCGGAACCGCCGGGACCTGGCTGATTTCACCTCGGAGACCCTGCAGAGGCTGATCTTCGAGCAGCTGCAGCAGCTCCACCCCAACGCCTCTCGGCTGGGCGGTGGGGCCAGGCCAAGGCGCAGCGTGGCGCTTCCCGTGGGCGGAGGGAGGACCAGCCCTGCTGGGCCCGAGGCCCGGCGGAGTCTGGTGAACCAAACCTCCCGCCTCGCCCGGGGTGCTCCACACTGGGACTACTCCAGCGCCTACGTCAGTGCCAATACCCAGACGCACGCCCACTGGCGCATCGAACTCATTTTCCTGGCCCGAGGGGACGCCGAGAACAACATCTTCACCTCCGAGCGCCTGCTCACCATCCACGAGATAGAGCGGAAGATCATGGACCACCCCCACTTCCGGGAGTTCTGCTGGAAGCCCCACGAGGTCCTGAAGGATCTTCCTCTGGGCTCCTATTCATACTGCTCCCCTCCCAGCTCCCTCATGACATACTTCTTCCCCACCGAACGGGGAGGCAAGATCTACTACGACGGCATGGGGCAAGACCTGGCCGACATCCAAGGTGAGCCCAGGGAGTTGGGTGGACTTGAACTGAGGCGTGTCCCGGGTCTGGGTCTCCTTGTATGGTTGGTCAGCACCTATGTTGTGGGCCCGGCTAGATTAGATAGAGTAGTGCTGATCTCCATCTGCCCTGGGGGAGGCTTGGCCTGACTGTGGAATGGGGAGCTCAGGATTTTAGGACAAGGGGCTCACCTTTTGCTTTTCCAGCCAGTCTCTGTGGTTATGCCCCTGGAGTTTTCCCACCCTGGCCTTGTGGGTTTGTCAGTGCATCAGTGAATCCGACTCTGAATTTGGCCTCTCGTCCCTGTTTCAAGACTTAGTACCAGTTGTCATGCCACTGAGATGGGGACCTGGCAGAAGCCCTGCACTGCTGGGCAAGGACCCTGGGTCTGAGTCCTTTCAGCTTGCCCCTCTGCCGCCCTGCCCCTCGTATTGTCACAAACGCCAGTGCAAAGTGGGTGCCCTTCTGCTTTAATTGCACTGGTGTCAATGACAGTGCGAGGTGCAGAGCGATGGGGAATCAGGCCCTTTCTCCCCTCCATCATCTGCCCGATCCCCAAGTCAGACAGTGAGCCCTGGACCCGCTGCTGGTGATTATCGTAGCACCTAGGAATCCCAGTCAGAGGTCAGGTCCCTCAGTGCTAGGCCCTGTACAATCTTTTTGCCTTGGAGAGCCTCCTGTCTATGACTACGTCTATACTTGGAGCTGGGGGCAGGGGTGATTCCCAGCTCATGTAGATGTGCTCGCACTGGCTCTCATCAAGCTAGCCTGTTACACATACTAGTGTAGCTGCAAGAGCCCGGGGAGCAAGGGCTATCTGCCCCGAGTACCAACCCGCCTGGACCCCCTAGGTATGTACTTGGGCCAGCTAGCCCATGCCTGCTACCTGTGTGACCGCAGCCCCACTGCCTACACCAGCTGGGATCGCCCCCCTAGCTCCGAGTGTAGATCTCGCCTATCTGGGCCGATACAGATCTGCTGCTGCTGTGGGGTGAAATGCTCCCGGTGAGTCGCCACCAGGAGGCGGGTGCTGGGGGCGAGGGAGACTAGTACTGACTCCACTCAGCAGCTCTGCAGGGCTAATGCCACCCCTCCTGCAGGGGCGGGTTTCAGGGGAGCTGGAGGTGAATCATGGGTAGTCTGTGGGAGGGATGTGGTTGTGGGAAGCAGCTTCCATCTGTCTCCCAGGCATATGCTGCCGATTGAAAGCCAGCCAGAGCGGCGTACGGGCAGCAGGCAAGTGATTTACTCCATCTGCTCCATTGCAAGCAGCAGCTCTGCTACCTGGTACCTGCTCCAAAATAGGCCCTGGGGCCTTGCTGCCGGAGCCCGCCTTGTGGACTCCTTGCAGCCTGGAATTCACAGATTTGTGACTCAGAGCCACCCGGCTTAGTTCGTTGCAGTGCCCTAGAAGAAATGTGCACTGACGCTCCATTCTGTAGGACCGTGTTTTCAGCATGCACGGGAATCCCAGCTCCTCACCTGAGTTGGGTGGAGCAGGAGCCTCACGCTTTACAGTATTGGCCACGGCAACCCTACGATCAGCGCTGGCCTTTGGCCTGCGTGATATATGATGCTGCGTAGGGTCCCACTCTTGCTAGTGCAGCCCACCCTATAGGATGCCACTCCCGGCTTCCCTATCCTGATCCCGTGGGGCTGCAGAGTATTGCTGTGGGGCAGAAGCAGGATTCCATAATGCCCCCCCACCCCCCATCTCCCATTGGGAATGTTTGGCTCCATCTTCTCCTTGTGAGCTTCTCAGATGTGGGTCGCTGCCCTCAGGAGCCTCTCCTATGATCATCTTTCTGGGTAACAGGGCCGGGGGTTTCTGAGCTCCAGGCCGCCTGTTCAGAGCAGCTGTGATTGATAGCGGTGTGGCTGCCCTGTAGCACCGAGCACAGGTGACATGGGGAGCAAAGCTGGCTGCCACAGCCGTGAGCCTTCTTGTCAGCCTATCCCCTTCTCAGGCCGGGTGAGCAGAGGCTGGAGATGGATGGGATGGGAGAGATCCCCCTGAGCCGGCTGCTCTCTCATGAGAGAGAGGACGAGAGCGTGCGGGGCTCTGCAGCGTCAGGCTGGCCCCATGTGCCACGCCCAGCTGGCAGAGCTTGACCTAAAGGGTTCTGTGCTGGTCTCTCCTGCAGGGTCCCTGGAGTTGGCCATGACCCACCCGGAGTTCTACTGGTATGTGGATGAGGGGCTTTCGGCAGAGAACATGAAGAGCTCCCTCCTCCGCAGCGAGATCCTTTTCGGGGCCCCCCTGCCCAATTATTACTCGGTGGAGGATAGGTGGGACGAGCAGCGCAGCAAGTTCCAGAGCTTCGTGGTCACCTACGTGGCCATGCTGGCCAAGCAGTCCACCAGGTGAGGCGGGAGGACCGTGTACGGACTGGGTGACTTAGTATCCAGCTGGCAGGGAAGGGAGGGGACTGGAGAGGAGGTGGGAGATTGTCTGTCACTTACATTAGAGGAGCCGCTGGCGTGTCAGGTGCACGAGGGGTTAATCCAGCTACCTTCAGCTGTTACTCTTTGCGCTGATGCTGGGGGGCGAGGCTCTGAGGTTAATGCAGGAGGTGCCAGGCAGCCACGCTCCCACGAACCCTGCCGGGGTAAGTCCGATTAGGAGGCTCTTCTCAGCGTTGGAATGAGGAGTGCAGGATTTGGCAGAGTGGATCGGACCACTGGCCAGCCTGGGTAGTCTCCTCCCTTGGGCAGTGGCCAGCACAAGGAAGGAAAGAAAGCAGGCCTCCAGAACACCCTTGCCACGGGTGCTGGAGCATGTGGCAATGAATGGTTCACACAGTTCCTGTTTGCTTTAATACTGCATGGCCCCAGCAACGTGCATGAGACAGTGCAAGGACCTAATGCCTCAGGCCAGTGCTAGTTGGCATGGGGTTCGGCTTGTGAGCCCAGGGCAGCCGTTCCTGCAAAGAGCCATGCAGAATTACTCCCCCACACAAAGGGTGCCCCAGTCCAGAGGGCCAGATTCTGCTCTCATCTGCCAGGGGCTCAATCAGGAGTAGCTGCAATGGATGGTGTGGTATACCAGTATAAAGGTGCCTCACATCAGTACACCTTAGTCCCCGTCCCATACTGGAGTTGCTCGAACAGGATAAGCATCTTTATATGGCTATAACTGCATCCACACTAGGGCGCTTGTACGGTTTTAACTATACCGGTACGGTTACCATGGGACAACTTGTGGGGGTGGGGGGCAAGACCTGAGTCTGGGGGGTTCCTGGGGGTATGCACAGATACGGCTGTCGGCAGAACCTGGTGCTAGGTGAGGCTGTCCTTGCAGGGCCCACTTCAGTTAGGTGGAGGTGTATACAGATACATCGGGCTAATCTTCGTGTCACTTGCATCCATCCTGCACCAGTCTAATTCCACTGGCTTCAGCAGAGTTGCCTCTGTTCACACCGGGTCTGAATTTGGCTCTTGATGATGTACTGGCCTGTAAAAGGGGCGGATGAGTCAAATTAAAGGGCCTGACTCTCCTCTTGCTCCTCGTGTCAGGCTGGAGGAACACCACTAAGCCTAACAGAGCCAGTGAGTGTTACCTGGAGCAGGATTTGCCCCGGTAAACATGAGCTTGTCTCCCTGGGGTTCTGTGCTGCTGGGAACCAGCTGGTCAGATCTGGGCCTGCTCCAGCATTTGCAGGGGGAACCTCACTACAGCTTGAGGAGGGGATGCATCTGGTCAGTACAGGGGCGTGGTCGCGGGGACCCAGATGGTCAGGCAGCGGCTTGGAAGAGTGCTTTCAGCCATCTCTGGCCATCTGCTGCTCTGGATCTCAGTACCCCTGACCTGCAGGGACTCTGATCTTCATCAGCCAAGTGAAATACAGCCAGTGTGGGTCAACTCTGAAACTACAGCCGTGGGAAAGTCCTCTCAGTACGGGCCTGGGGAAGGATTGCAATTATGGGGAGCAGGGAGGGGAATAGGGAAGGGGGGGTGTATAAGCCCCCAAAAAGACTGGATTACAGGCACGCTCCTGTGATGCAGGGCTATTGTATTCCTGGTTTTAATTATCTCGGATTACCTCTGCTCAGAACCAGCTTCCAGCAGCAGAGGCTGGTAAATCATGCAGCAGTTCACAGGCCCGGGCTCCGCCTGCACCCAGCTAGTTATTACATCTGCGCTTAATATAATAAGCAATGATTTAAGATGCCAGATGGGATTGGCTTTGGAAGCTTCCAGAGCTGTTTGTTGACAGCGAGAACTCTATTAACACCTTTGACTGCAATGCACTGGAGGAATTTTAAAAATCTGAGACCCGCTCTTTGTTATCGCCTGCTCTCCTGATGCAAACCTCGGCCACCGCTCCTTGCAATCTGACCTGATCCGCGCACGTGACCTCCCTCTGGTTTTGGAGGAGATGCATGTGGTTTGATCCTCCAGCCCCACTCACTGTATATTCTCCTCTGTGCCTTCTCTCCCGCCTCTCTCTCCACCCCAGCAAAGTGCAGGTGCTGTATGGTGGGACAGATTTGTTTGACTATGAAGTGAGGAGGACCTTCAGTAACGACATGCTGCTGGCCTTCATCAGCAGTAGCTGCATCGCAGTCTTGGTCTATATCCTCACCTCTTGCTCTGGTAGGTTGCATTCAAACTCTCCGTCCCTGCTCTAAAGCAGAGCAAGGGCTGCAGTGAGCAGCCTGATGGGAGTCCCTGCCTCAGGCCCCAGGAGAGTCCCTGGGCAGGTCATTCTCCAGCCTGCTCAGGAATGCACTGCCTCGAGCTTTGATGTTAGGCAGAGTAGCAGGGCCTCCCCTGGCCACAGAGACACAACCCGAATTGTCCAAGGCAGAGATTGGGGGGCGGGGGCAGTCGAAGGGCTCCCTTGAGGGGATTTGGCCAACTGAGAAGCAGCTTCTCCTCTCGCTAACTCTGGTGTAAATCTGGAATAACTCCACTCACTTCAACTGAGCCCGTATAGATTTACCCCAATGTAACGGAGATCCAGCTCGGGGCCTGTTTCCCTATTGACCTGGACGAGAGTTGAACTGGTGGGAAGTGGAAGGCTCCATGTCCCATTGTGGGGTCCTAGACCGTCCCCACCGCTTAGGGGCAACTTAGGCCAACCCGGTCAAGAACAGCCTCTGACTTTGGGTGCCCAAATTGAGACTCCATGCATTTAATTTCCAGAGGTGCTGAATGCCCGCAGCACCCATTGATGCCCGTAGGAGAGTTGAGTGCTCAGTTCCTCTGGATATCAGGCCCATGATGCCTCAAAACCACCACTCGCCTTTGGAAACATCACCATGCCTTGCCCCAGCTGGAATCCCTCCCTCCTGACCAACATACCCCCTGTCAGGTCAAAGCTCTTCCCGGGGCAGGAGCAGGCCAGGTGCCCACACCCCACGGGCAGTACAGGGATTGCAGCCCATGCAGTTCCAGTACCGAGATTCCTAGCATCGCTCTCCTCCCGCAGTGTTCCTGTCTTTCTTTGGCCTGGCCAGCATTGGGCTGAGCTGCCTGGTGGCGCTGTTCCTGTACCACGTGGTGTTCGGGGTCCAGTACCTGGGCATCCTCAATGGCGTGGCCGCCTTTGTCATTGTGGGGATCGGTAAGTCTTTCCTAGCCTCCTTCCTTTGCTCTGCCCCAGCTGCTCCCCACGCAAAGGCCCTGCCATACCCGCGCCAGCCTGCAGAATGGTCTGCCCTTGCCTCGCTGCGTGGCAGGAGGCGCAGGCTTGACAGTGAGCTTAGGCTTTGGTGGGCCAGGTCCACAGCCGGTGTGAGTTTGTCTAGCCTCACTGACTTCAACAGAGCTGTGACGCCTTGCGCCCACTGAGGATCTGGCCCCATGCATCTCTCCCCAGTGCGAGCGGCATTTCTGCCCCACCTTTCCTCCTCCCCAGGTGTCGATGACGTCTTTGTCTTCATAAACACGTACCGCCAAGCCACCCACCTGAAGGACCTGCAGCTGCGCATGATCCACACCATCCAGACGGCAGGGAAGGCCACCTTCTTCACCTCCTTGACCACAGCTGCGGCGTACGCTGCCAACATCTTCTCACAGGTGCGCCAGGGCTTTGCAGTGGCCCCCCTGAGGTCACGGCTGCCTGCTAGAAAACATCACCCCCGGCCTTTCAGCAGTTCCCTGGCCCACAAGAGGACAACCGTGGGCCTGCTCTGGAGGGGGACTTTCCCTGAGCTCTCAGGCTCATGTAGGTTTCAGAGTAGCAGCTGTGTTAGTCTGTATCCGCAAAAAGAACAGGAGGACTTGTGGCACCTTAGAGACTAACCAATTTATTTGAGCATAAGCTTTCGTGAGCTACAGCTCACTTCATCGGATGCATCATGTAGATACTCCTTGTGTGCTCTTCCCGCTTGAGACTGACTCCCTCCAGGCCAGCTCTGTTGCCCTGGGCCTGTGGCAAAGCCAGCTCTCCTGGGGCTTTGAGCCATACAGCTTTGCAGGGAGCTGGAGCTCAAGTGATGTCCTTGGGACTCCTGTTCCCAAGGCCTGTGGCAGGTGCAATGTGCTGGACCTGGCAGGCAAATGGGGCACGTTGCTAACGTTGTCATCTATGCCTGGCTCTCCTGGTCTGGCTCCCCCAACCCAAGCTGGGAAGAGAGGCTCAATGGGAAGCAGAGCTGGCATGTCTAAGGATCACAGCGTCCCTCCACAAACAGATCGGGAACTTTTTGGAGTCCCTTCCAGACTCCAGTCCCATCAGCCAAACAGGGGAGCTCTGGGGCCTGAACTGCAGAGGGAAGAATCCCAGCATATTCCACCCCAGGTTTTCCCTCCGCTTTGGGCACGCTGGTGCTGCTGTCCCTGGGAGCACTGTGCTCATCAAGCACAAGGAGGGAATCTGATTAGGCCTTCCCCTGAGCCACTGGCGAGAGCTCTGCCCCTCTCCCCTGCATGTGCCCAGGGCCAGATACACGAGAGAGCTCCCCTGGCCTGGTAGCAATGCAGTAGGCACCCACCCTGCGAGCACCTCAACCGCTGGGCAGTGTCTGCCATGCCAAATGATCAAGTGCCACTCATCAGCTGAGCCCTAGACTACCAGCTTTCACCAGGGGCAGCTGGCTCCATGGCTTTTGGGCAGCATGGACTGGCCAGTGTTCCTACCCCCAGGCTCCTCTTGAGTTCGCTTCCCTGTGTTGCCTTAGCGGGGTCTCTTGCTGGAAGGTCTCTGGGATCCACCTCCTCTGTCCTAGCTGAGCGTTCTCTCTGCAGATCCCTGCCGTGCATGACTTTGGTCTCTTCATGTCGCTCATTGTGTCCTGCTGCTGGGTGGCCGTGCTGTTCACCATGCCGGCTGCTCTTGGAATATGGACCCTCTACATGTCCCCCCTGGAGAGCTCCTGTCAGGCCAGGTGAGAGTCCTCGCGGGGCTGTTAGGAAGAGTCCACATCCTGCCGCTGATCAGTCTCCCCAACAGGAGCCTGCCCATGCCAGGCAAGGAAACCACAGCCTGGGCATTGACTCCAGGGAGCAGCTGGTCGCTTGGGTTGTCCTAGCCATGGGTTAGTGCGTCCACATGGCAGAGCTGTCGTGGTGCATCCAGACACAGTGCGCCTTGTGGCTGTGGTCATGCCACTGTATCCTGGGAATTTGGAACCGCCCACAGTGCACTGCGGGATCGAGTTCACAACCGGCTGCCTCAAAGCAGCTGCAACCTCGTCAGGTGTCCTTTCCAGACCTGAGCTGCAGGTGTTGCAACCAATGCGTCAGAAGTACCATTGCGTGTGGGCAGCAGGCCCTGTCCAGCACTGCAAGCACCACGCATCCCAGCCGGTCGCGTGCCTAGTGTAAACACACCCCTCTCCCCTAGCAACACCCTTCGCCCCCCACGCCTCCAGCCCCCGGGCAGTGGAGGGGCACGCTCTGGCCTCAGAACTCTGCTGCCGGCAGGATTCCGCCCTTACGGGAGGGGAGGTTTATTCTCCACCTTCGGGATCAGGCCGGGAGTCAAGGCCGGATTTGGATCTCGTTTCTGCTGGTGTAGACCCAGGGTGGCTGCCGCAGAGTGACTCCAGACGTATAACCAGAGGAGCCAGGTTCCCTGCTGGCATCAGTGGGTGCAGCCCCATTGACTTCCAGGGAGCTTCCCCCCACTTACACCTGCAGAGAACTTGTCCCAGGATCTAATCTGCGAACTGGAGGCATGCAAGCCCTGCAGACAGACGGACCGGACAGCCCAGCCCCTGGGGGCACAGGGATGCAGATTTGTATCTGGGTAAATCAGTGCGCCTTCCCCTTCCTCCCTCTCAGTGTGGCACAGCAGCCGGCTGGGTTTAATTCCTTAGCTGGGTGATGAAGAGCAGAAGCACCTGGGAATACCCCGCCTCCCCTCCCGCCCCCACACACATCTAGCCCAGTCTCTGATGATTTGCTAGCAGCAGCCGAGCTCCTGATATGCCCCGGCGCATTAGCAGTGGAAGTGGCTGGTTTGGTTTTGGCAGTTGAGTGCTTAGCAGGTCACTGGAACAGTCACTCTCCTCTCAGAAGGAGACGAGGCAGCAGCTGTTCACACAGTACGTAGCCCAGAGCTGCTGACTTTGGCTCCCCCCTCCCCATTCAGCTGCAGTCAGAAGTGCGGGAAGACGAGCACTTTGCCCATTGCCGATGACCTGTTACTTGCCTCGGAGGATGCAGCCGGTCCAGGCCAGGGGTCACTCCCGTACCTCGATGATGACATCCCACTGCTCAGTGTGGAGGAGGAGCCGGGTAGGTGTTCAGAATCCTGTCAGCCCATTCTGGGGACAAGGAGCCTCCCCTGAGGGAGTGGCAGTCCTGGGTTCTCCTCCTGGCTCTGCCACTGGCCTGCCAGGAGACCACTGGGCTGCTCTGTGCCCCGGTTTCCCCATGTGTGAACTGGAGCTAATGATCCTTTGCTACCTCCTGGGATGCCGTGGATCTGCATTCGCTGTGTGTGCATCCCTTGGCTGGATGTTACTTGAGGCATGACATTATTATTCCTCAGGAGTCCAATTAGGATCCAGGTTTGGCCCGAATACCTAGCTACCCTATGAAGGGACCCAGGAAACATCTGATCTAGAGCACCTGGGCAGTACAATCCTCCCGAGGTGGAAGGCAATACTCAATTAAAATCCCAGTCCCCTCTGTAGTCTTTAGTGTAACATTGGGTGAGCACATGTGAGCAAAGGTACTTCGTCCTTCTACAGTGCCCAGCGCCTGAGGCCTCGGAGCACTTCACACGCATAGGGAGCTGGGCTTCACAGCTTCCCATGAGGCAGGTCATTTCAATTATCCCTACTTTCTAGGTGGGGAAACTGAGGCACAGTGCGGGGCAGTGACTTGCGTGAGCTCAGAACTGGGAAGAGAACTTACGAGTCCTGGTGGCATTGCTATGCCTTAATCACCAGACCGTCCGATTAGCCCTGGCTGGAGTGAAGGGTATTTCGCTGGGAAGGGCCTCTCATCCTTGGATTTTAAAGCTGGCTGTTAGTGCTGCCTGGTTGAAACTGCAGCCCCGAGCTCTGGAGAGTCCCTGTTAGACACAAACCCTCGGCGATAGCAGCAGGCTCGGCCTGGTGACCGGGGAGATGGGAGCTACGATGCTGGGTGATGAAGAGCAGAAGCACCTGGGAATACCCCGCCTCCCCTCCCGCCCCCACACACATCTAGCCCAGTCTCTGATGATTTGCTAGCAGCAGCCGAGCTCCTGATATGCCCCCCGCAGTAGCAGTGGAAGTGGCTGGTTTGGTTTTGGCAGTTGAAGGGCACAGGGCTGAGGAAGTTCTAAGAGTGTCCTCTAGTCTGTCCATCTGCCTGGCTACTCTGGGCTGCAGGAGAACTTGCCTTAGGGCAAGTTTAACCCTTAGGGCAGGTTTAACCCTCCTCCACCTGCGAATACCTCCCCCCAGCCCTGTGCTAGTGAATTCACCAGTCCCAGAACAAGCAGAGGTCAGGCTGCTCTTAACATGCTGCCGGGCTCCTGCTGCAAGTGCTGAGCCTCCTCAATATGCCAGAGCCGCACAGGATGGTAATTTATGGAAATAGCTCGTCCTCCACGTCCCTGGACCGTACTAAACAGAAGGACAGTTTCCGGTAGAGCCCCTGGGCAACTTGTGAATGAGGCAAGGATGTGGCTCTGTGTGGAGGCCCCGTGTGGTGTGCTGGGGCTGCCGGAAGGCACCTGGTGCCCTCACCAACCCCACCGGAGAAAGCGCCATCTTGCCAATTGCAAATGAGAGGTTGATTCTTGGTGAGACAGAGGTGGCATGTGGCCGTCGGATGGAAATTGGATGCAGCCATTCTCCTGCCACGTTAAAGAGACTGGAGTGCCTGCTGCCCCAGCAAAGCCCTGGGGGTTGCAGTCTGGGGGGTGAGGGTACAGGGGGGACCCGGTTGTATTGGGGGAAGAGGGGTGGAGGGATCACTGTTTCCTTGTAAAGGTGCTAGGGATTGTGATGGGGTTCCTACTGATCCCCAACATCCTGCATCGCAGATTGCTTTGCTTTCTAGAGGGCTGGATGCTGCCACACACTGAGCGAACCCACACCCCCGCACAGGCAATGGGAACAGAGGGTGTCAGGACGTTTGCAGGATGGGGACTCATTTCCGACTTGGTCGTTTGCGGCCATGGGTTTCCGTGGGGGTGATTCCCATAACAGGCAGACACATAGGTTGGTAAGTTCCCTGCTACGCATGGACACACCAGGTCAGGCAAAGGGTCAGATTCTGCCTGGATCCACATGTGTGCTGTATTGATGGCAGAGTTCAGACCAAAGTGGGGGAAAGAATGAACTTGTGCCTAAAGCATAGTATGGGGACTCAGGGCAGCTGGGGTCTGTTCCCAGTTTGCCTCTGGTTTAAATGTGTGATCTTGGGTAAGTTCCAGCCCCTCTTTGTGCCTCAGTTTCCCCATCTGAAAAAAGAGGATAATGGTGCTTCCCTATCTCGCGAGGGTGCTGCGAGACTCAATTGCAATGCTGTTAAAGGGCTTGGAGATCCTAGAGACCTGCTGAGTTATTTATTGGCATTTAAGAACGCCCCCAAACCTTCACCCAGGGCCTATACTGATGCCAAATATATTAGGAGGTTTGAAAAAAAAATGTAACATTTTCCCCCCATTTCTTGGTTCCGACTGGTAGTAACTGTGGAAATGCTAAACCCCAAGAGAGACAGGGTGTTATCAGGGCATCCCAAGCCGGAACAGAAATCCTTCAGCGCTGCTCTGCAGTCTCCAGAGGTTTGGATAGTTCAGATCAGCAGCCCAGCTGTTGTTGGGTTTTTCTCCAAACCAAGCCTCTTGGAGGGCTGCTGGCTGCTCTTCCTAGCAGTGTGGTATGTGCCCGAGTGAAGAGGGCACTAGATTAGGACTTGGAAAAGGGCTTCGTTTCCTGTCCTTGACCTGCCCCATGCCTTTAGGCAGCCCCTTCATCTCCCTGCGCCTCTGTGCCCCTCCCACGCTCCGTCAGCTTAGCTTGTAAGAGTTTATGGAGCACGTAGCACGCCGGCGCCTATAGGGGCTACCACAGTATAGATGGGAGCAGCGGGTTGAGAGGCTTGCTGGGCACATACGTCTAGTCGTAAGAGGAGCTTTAAGTCGCTGCCTTGCTCAGCTCTGGCTCCTGCTCCAGCCTGGCCAGTGGGTTTGATGCACTGAAGGGCACAGGGCTGAGGAAGTTCTAAGAGTGTCCTCTAGTCTGTCCATCTGCCTGGCTGCTCTGGGCTGCAGGAGAACTTGCCTTTCTCATTCTCTTTGGCTCCTTGCTCTGTGCCCCTGCAAGGGGCTTGGGGGCCGAGCCAAGCTCTGAGCCTGCCTTTGGTCTCTTTCTCCCCTAGCGGCTCTGGAAATGGGGGATGTGCCCTTGGTGTCTGCACTGCCGGAGAACTTGCAGCTCCCGGCCGAGAAGGTCAGGAAAGGTCACTTGATCGCCCATCTGCAGGAGCTCCTCCAGCACTGGGCGCTGTGGTCTGCGGGGAAGAGCAGATGGGTGATTGTGGGTAAGGATGGCCAGAGGGATGCCCTCCCCTATGGTGCGTCTCACAGGCTCTAATTGGGCAGCGCTCCCAGAATTCCTCAGCCTTAACGGTGAGGGGAGGCCGAGGTTGGACACAGCCCTGCCCCTCCGACAGGCACATGGGACATAGATCTCCCCTCCTCCTGCTCTCCTAGGGGAATGACAGTGTCCTGAGACCCTGCTCTGTCTCTGCTACTTGCATAGCTCTGTATATGGCAGATAACTCTGCCCTTTCCCCGCTGGCACAGTGCTCCCCCCTGGGCTTTGCCGGCCACTTTACATTTAGGGAAGACATGGTGCTGCAGTGTTCTGGATGGCATTAGGCTCTCTCTCTCTGCGCCTGGGCATCCAGCACCTGTCGCTTCCCTGCTAGCCTGGGGAATCCCCCAGCACCCTGCTCCCCTGGGTGCTGCTGGATGGCCAGCCCCTGGGGGCACCGTGCAGATGAGAGCTCTGTGTGTGCAGAGTCCCACATACTGGTCGCACCTCTCATTGCAGGGCTCTTTGTCATGGTCCTGATCCTGTCCATATTCTTCGCTAGCCGCCTCCGCCCAGCTAGCCGCGCTCCTCTCCTGTTCCGGCCCGACACCAACATCCAGGTGCTCCTGGACCTCAAGTACAACCTGAGCGCCGAGGGCATCTCCTGCGTCACCTGTTCAGGTGAGAGTTCCTAAGGGTCGGATGGGGGCAGCCCTTCGCCGCTCCTGCGCGGCACGGATGGGGTGAATACCCCCAGGGCATCAGCGCTCCCCTTGCAAACCCTGCCTCCCATCAATGCTAATGTCTCTAGCCTTCTTCTGAGCCCTCCTTGGCTGCCCTCCCTTTCCCCTCTGTACTGCTGGCCTCCCTGGCCCGCTAGACATGCCCAAGACAATTCAGGCGGGAGAGTGATTCCTGCTGCATTGGACCCCTTTTCCCCACGCTCTCTGGTGTTCTCAGCTCAGAGGCATTGGAAGGAAAAACCCAGGGATTAGGGAGCAAATGTTCCCTTCCCGCCATGGTGATCAGTGTTAGCCCCGTTCTTGTGAGCAAGACCTGCCCCTTTCTGGACAGCTGGGGTTGCCCAGGGAATTGCCTGTTGCCCAGGAAGGTGGGTTTTGTCACTGTGAAATCCATGTATACTGGCTGGCAGTGGGCAAAGGCCGGTGCTCTGAACTTTTGTCTCTAAGCCAGCCGTGTAGGGCAGGGGTGGCAGCCTGCCAGCCCCGGGGGCTTGGGGAGGGAAAGCACAAATGCAAGTGCTCAGGACAGGGGCAACTCCATGGGAACTCCCTTCCACTGACGCCAGGGCAGCCGCACTGCAGCTGGAGCTGACGGAGACGTTCGCCCTGTGCAGAGCCCCGCGGGGGTTGATATGGAGGTTGGGCTCAACCCTCTCGTGTCCACCTACGTTGCTGTGAAAGCTGGCCGCCTCCTCCTCCTCCCGTGCGCCCCTCTAAGGGAACATTGTCCGGCCGGCTGAGGGGCAGTGCCCCGTTCTACCTGTGCTGGGCTGGGGCTGAGCTGACAGGGTCTGGTGTGTTACTGGCCCAAGAGCACTAGGTGTGGGGCCGAGCTGATGGAAATCCTGGTGTGACCAGCCAGGAGCAGGAACTCTGGGTGTGGGGCCGAGCTGATGGAAATCCTGGTGTGACCAGCCAGGAGCAGGAACTCTGGGTGTGGGGCCGAGCTGATGGAAATCCTGGTGTGACCAGCCAGGAGCAGGAACTCTGGGTGTGGGGCCGAGCTGATGGAAATCCTGGTGTGACCAGCCAGGAGCAGGAACTCTGGGTGTGGGGCCGAGCTGATGGAAATCCTGGTGTGACCAGCCAGGAGCAGGAACTCTGGGTGTGGGGCCGAGCTGATGGAAATCCTGGTGTGACCAGCCAGGAGCAGGAACTCTGGGTGTGGGGCCGAGCTGATGGAGGTCCTGGTGTGACCAGCCAGGAGCAGGAACTCTGGGTGTGGGGCCGAGCTGATGGAGGTCCCGGTGTGTTACCGGCCCAGGAGGGGGAGTGCTGGGTGTAGGGCCGAGCTGATGGAGGTCCCAGTGTGTTCCTGGCACACCGAGCTCTGACAATGCCATTCTCCTTTTCCTCCCTGACTAACCTTGTGGGACAGGTTTGTTTCAGGAAAAGCCCCACAATCTGCAGAGCAACATCCGAACCTCCTTGGAGAAGAGGAAACGGGGCTCGGGGCCCCCTTGGGGGAGCAGAGGGGGCGCGGCTGATGCTGTGCAGCAGGGTGAGTGCACAAGGGGACTGGCCGTCGGTCATTCTAACCTGTCGCTGATTTCCGGCTGGGCCCGAGATCCTGTCTGGGAAGGAAAATAGCAAAGGTGGGCTCTGAACAGACAGAGAAAAGGGACTTGGCTGCAGACACCTCCCTACCAAGCCCTGATTTGATGCTGGGCATCGTATGGTTCAGGGAGTGACGAGCCGCTGAGAACATTTTCCTTCCCTCTGCCCCCAAATTATCATTGTTCATTGCTCCCGGCACTTCAACTCATCAGAGCTGCACAGCAGACAGGCACTTGGGAAGAGCAGCTTAACAGAGTGGCGGTGTGGTCTAGTGGTCTGAGCATGGGACTGGGAGCCAGGAACAGCTGCCTCCTAGTCCCCCCCTCTGCCACTGACTTGCTCCCGGGCTTTGGGAAGTCATTAAACCTGCTAGTTTCCTCAACCTGCACCCCAAGGGATTGGAGGATGGGTCAGATCCCAAGCTTCATAGCCCCAAGGGGGTCAGTAGGGCTTGCACCAGCTCAGGATCTCGCCCTGTGTTCATAGAGCACGTTGGAAATGGCACCATCCTGTGGAGAGGCAGAGGGTTGTGTTCGGCTAGTGCTGGGGAGAGGATAGACCAGACGCCCTCTGCGTTCGCTCCCCTGGTTTGTAGCGTTAGCTGACCGATCAATGTCTTTCACCACCGCCCGGCTGACTGTGGTGTGTTTTCTAGATCCCCAGGGGACTGTGTATGTCTCCAAGTCCAAAGGCCAGGGAAGGCCACCCATCTACAGGTTCTCCCTCAATGCCAGTGTTCCTGCCTCGTGGCAGATGGTGTCCCCGGGAGATGGGGAAGTGCCCTCATTCCAGGTAAGTTAAGTGTGTGCATTAGACTCTTCTATGGCATGCTTGCACTGCAAAGCCTCCTGCTCCGCAGGCAGACAGCAGGAGCTCAGAGATGGGATCAACAGGGCACTTCTGTGAGGAAGCTCGCACTGCTGGCTTCCCAGCTGGCATGGGCAGGAACACTGCTTGTGTCCTACCCGGTGCTGCTAGGATGCCAGGTGTTGATACTGGGCTGCTGTTGTGTCACTGTTCATCCCAGAGCCACGGCTGGAGAGCAGGTGGGAGGTGGCAAGGGATAAGAACTGGCCTGGGTTCCTCAGCTGAGCTGACCCACAGGAGGTTTCTGAGCCGTTCTGGGGTCCCGCGGGCTGAATTCTTGCTTTGTCCGTCTGTCCATGCACAGGCAGGGCAGCCGAACGGATCAATCCCAGCCTAAGGGGCTGAGCCAGGCCTGCACAGGGCGCCTGATGGCTGTCCAGCGGAGATCCCCCAGCATTCGATCTGCAGCAGGACTGAACAACCACAGCTCCAGCTGCAGTCTGGGGGGGCTCAGCTCCCGCGACAGCCAGGCTCTAGTTGTATCCAGCTCCCCATACTCGGGAAGGAGGCAAAGGCGTGGGAGGGCCAGGTCTGGGTGGCAATGGATTAGCTCCTCCCTGCAGAACCTTTTCTCTCTGGCCCTGTGAGGGCTCAGGGTAAAGCAGGGGCGGGGGGTGTCTGATGCTAACGTCTCTTTGACCTTTGCCTGCTCTGCAGCACTGTGCGGTTAAGTGTCTGTTTTCGTTAATCCATTGCTTAGGTGTATAGAGTTCCTTTCGGTAACTTCACCAAGAAGCTGACAGCTTGTGTGTCCACAGTAGGGCTGCTTCAGCAGACGAGCCCCCGGAAATGGATGATGACCACTTTATCCTGCGACGCCAAGAGAGGCTGGAAGTTCGACTTCAGTTTCTACGTCGCGGCCAAGGAACAGCAGCGAACGCGGTAACCGTCCCAAGCGGGTAAACGCTCAGCAGCCAGGGAGTGCCGCTGCCTTGTGGTCAGTGCAAGGAGTGGGGAAGTCAGGATGCCCAGGTCTCTCCTCAGCTCTGCCACAGACTCGCTGTGTGACCTTGGGCAAGAGGCTTCGTTTTGCTGCACCTCAGTTTCCTCATCTGCAAAATGGGTCTAATTCTGCTACGTATTGTGCACTGCTGCCCTCTTCTGGGTAGAATTTGAATTACTCAGCTATGCACCATAGCCCCTTATGGCTAATGGAGAGTCTAACTCAAGTGGCAGAGGCCTGTGTGTTTAGAACAGGAGGTTCTGAGTTTGGCATGCGGCCGCGGCGCCCTGCCTAGGAAGCTCGGTGAAGTCATGAGCTTGGTGTGATACTCTCCCACCTTTGCAGAGGCCACCGGGGTCCCAGGGCGGGAGGTGCTGTCCAGGAGTGTGGGATTATCGATGCTGTTAGTGTAATGAATAGAGGGTTGTTAGTGGATTCTTTATGTGATAGAGAGAAATCCCACTCTTGGCTAATGTGTGGCCTTGGGCAGCGCAGATACACCGCTCCCATGGGCACAAACTCATGACACCTCTGAGTCGCTTTCTCCCCTAATTCTTTTCACTGCTTCTCCAGAGCTTCCTTCCCTCACCTGGCCTCTCTTTCCCTCTCCTCCCCCTGGTGCACTTTCTGTTGCCAAACCCCTAAGCCTGCTTCCTAAGGGCCCGGCAGCATGGAGCTGCTTTGTGTTAACATCTCGTGCCCGCCTTGCTGCTGGGCTGGACGCTCCATCATGCCCTCTCTTTGCCCTGCAGGAAGCTGTATTTCGCCCAGTCGCACAAGCCCCCTTACCACGGCCGAGTGTGCATAGCGCCCCCTGGCTGTCTTCTCAGCTCTAGCCCGGACGGACCCAACAAAGGCTTCCTCTATGTGCCCAGCGAGAAGGGTAAGCTGGAGAGAGCGGCAGAGGGCACGTGGCCATGGCTGCACTGGAAGGACTCGCCAGGTGGAGTGTTGGCTCAGTTCCTCACTTTCTCGGCTTGTAACCCTCCCCTCTTTGCTTGACAGGGTCCCCCAAGATGAAGCTCTCGGCCACCTCAGGCTTTAACCCGTGTGGGAACACCGGCTGTGGGAAGCCAGCAGTGCGGCCGCTGGTGGACACGGGGGCCATGGTGTTTGTGGTGTTTGGCATCCGCGGGGTGAATCACACCCGACACCCGGATAACCACGTCATCGGAGACATGGTACACGTGCTTTCCTGCATGCAGGCCCGGCAAGCCCTGGGGTGGCTGATGCAGGAGGACTGTTCCCGAGTTAGATTGCGCTAATGCCTGCCTCCCCGAATTCTCGCGCGCACCCCCTGACTCTCCAGCAATCCCTCCCCACCTCTGACCAGCTAAAACAGCAGAGGCAGCGGTGCTGCGATGAGGCACCTAATAGAGCACATTCGTTGTTTGCGAGCTTACTACAGATGTAAATCAGGATCCCCTGGTTCGAATTATTTCCAACTTTCCAGAAAACCCCACCTGAGCCCAGGATCTAACCACTTACGTTTGAGACCCTCTGGGACTCATTGTGGATTTTAGAGGGGGCCCCAAATCAGGCTTAGAGTGGAAACTTGGCTGAAAGTTTGATTATGGAGCACCAGCCATTGCTGCATAATTATTGTCTGGCCTGTGGCGAGGTATTAGATTAAATAAAGACGATTCAGTTACTCTGGGAAAGTCTGAGTGTCCATGTGCCGCTTAGTTCCCAAATCCGCTAGCCGGACACATGGGTGCTGCTTTCCCAACAAACTCCCGCTTACCTTTGTTTCCAGGTAACTGCAGTTACTTCCCATAGTGCAGTACCAGAGCAGCATGGGAATAATTAACCTTTGCCACTTGGGAATGCAGCCAGGGGATAGAGCTGCAGGTCAGATAAGGAGCTGTCTGGGCTGCTCCTACAGGAGTGGCAGGGGGTCCGTTTGCTTATTCAGCATCCAATCAGCCATGCTGTGAATGCCCTTGCTGTCACTTGCCCACACTCCCCTCATCTAGCCTGGGGGTTTGATTGGCTAGGGCCCGCTCTGCCCTGGGTTTGTACCAGTCTAATGATGTTGGGTAGTTTTAAATCAGTCCAACCCCTAGTCTGGACGCAGTTATATCGGTGTAACGGTGCCTCTTCCTTGCAGGAATAAATGATACAGCTGTAAGCGCCGTTATACCAGCAGGGGGTGTGCCACTCTAACTATACTGGGCTCGTTAAAGGGTGTAGACAGGGCTTGTATCTTGCATGTAGAAAAGCCCTTGGGGCATAGCTGTAACACCTCTGGAGCTCTGGTTGGCTCGCCAGACTTGTCTGGGTGCTGTTGCGAGCTGGGCAGGGTTATGGGTGCAGGGGCACCCCAGGCTAACCTGCTGAGCAACCCACGTTGCCTCTTCGTGCCACTGCTCCTGGGGTCCAAGGCAGGACTCCGGCTCCGGGAGCTAGGATTGTTGGTGCCAGTTGTTCTCTGTGCCCAAAGCTGGAGCTCTGGACCGCATGCCCAGCTGGGGGAGGTGGAGAATGGGCAGTTGGCGTTGTGTGGTCAGTCATACGCCCGGGTCCTGCCCCACCCCGCCAGGTGCTGGGCGTGTGCCTCACGTGTTCGGCTCTCGCTGTTGTGTCTCCTTGTGAAAGGGCAGCGTTATCTACGATGACAGCTTTGACCTCTTCAAAGAGATTGGCAACCTGTGCCTCATCTGCAAGGCCATTGCCGGCAATGCTGAACTGGTGAAGCCGGGAGGGGCCCAGTGCCTGCCCTCAGGTATGTAGGACAAAGGCCAGCCGGCCTGATCCTGGGGACAAGTGCCTGACAATGACAGGTCCCCATGTAGAGGCTGAGCCCGCACTGCGGGTGGGGTTGGTAAGAGCCATAGAAATTGCACCATCCTGTCCTGCTCTCCATCTTGCTGCAAATCTTAGCTGAAATCATAGCGCCCGAGTCCCAAGGGCTGTGACCCTTGGCTCCGTCGCTCTGTCTCATGCTTTGGGGAGTAGTTAAACAACAGACACTGGGCCCAGTGGAGCTGCTACCCTAACCGTGCTGCTAACCTTTTGCCGTGCTCAGAACTGGGTTTGATCAAGACGTGGCCCTAGCCAGACAAGCTGCAGAAGGGATTGCGGCCTCAAGGTATCTTTCAGCTTCCTCCATCTCCCAGGGCTGTGTATCTTTGTGGGCTTGCTCCTAGAAGCTCCATCACGGAGCTTAGAGATGGAATGGACTGGATGATCTGTTCCCGTCATGGTGGCTCCATGATGTGAGTGGAGTTCCTCCACTTTTCCCCAGTGCAAGGGAGAGCAGGATCTGGCCCACAGTCCCCACAGAGCAGAGACTTCAGCTAGTGAACCGGTAACCCCTCCTGGGTACGTGGCACTGCTTCGTAGTCACTTACTCGGCATGTCACACCCTGAGGAGGTGTCCCCCTGTGCAAGGAGGGCAAACTTCTGTATTGGGTTTGGAGGGAGCTGCAAGTTAACCCGTATCGAGAGGAGCCCGGGGCCAGTTTTAGACATGGGTAGGGAAGGGCACCGCAATCACCGACAGCAAGGTCAGCAGTGTTCCTGGAGCCGGCCACCCCTGCCGGCAAACACCTGTCACCTGCCAGCAAAACTCTTCTGTTGATTTGGGGTGTCTGTGTTGTCTCCTGACCTTGCAGCTTTGCAAACCGATGCCACGTCTTTCTGCCCCAATGTAAATGCCACCGAGAGTTCAGGAGCTGCCTCTCGGGGGAGGAGGGATCCCCAAGGGCCAGCCCCACCCTCTCGCACCTGGGGAAGAGAGGTGAAAAGCTACCAAGGCAGATCCTGAGCTGGCATAACGCGATGCCACTGCGTTGACTCCGGCGAGCTGTGTCAACCCACATCAGCTGAGGGCATGGCGCAGAGAACACAGGGGGTCACTGGCCTACCACCCCATCCTGCTGGGAGACTAGGGTGTCCTGGGAGGTACCAAATGCCCTCTGCTCCCTTCGAAGCCAGCAGGAGCTGAGGGCTCTCAACCCCTGGTAGGGACAGGCCCTGGGGTGCCAAGAATCCAAATCTGTAGCCAGGGCAGAGCAGGTGACAGGAGAAGCAGCTGTTCATGGACAAGAACTGCAACTCTGTCTTCTCTGTCCCTTCGTTCCTGTGTGTCCCTCCCCCATCTTCCCCTCTCTCTCTCTCCAGGCTACAGCATCTCCTCCTTTCTGCAGATGCTGCATCCTGAGTGTAAGAACCTCCCAGAGCCGAACCTGCTCCCCGGGCAGCTCTCCCACGGGGCGGTGGGGGTGAAGGATGGCAAGGTGCAGTGGATCTCCATGGCTTTTGAATCGGTGAGGGCACTTCCATGTTCCCCGGGTCAAGTCTCCTGCTACCAGCTCCCCCGGCATGTGGGGCGGGGCGGGGGCAGGAGGAAAGCAAGCAGCCGCTTTTAAGGGGCTGTCCAGATGGCATCATTGGCTTCCGCACCGATTCTCCCAGATGTCCATGTGTTAACCCTGCTCTCTCCAGGGCTCGGCTTTGCAGCACCAGCCCGGCTTTATCTGCAGGAGTCATTTTGCACTTGCCAATATCTGTGCTCCCGCTGCAGGTGGGAGTCAACCTGCTTGGGGCTGCAAGTGACGGAGACATTCTATTGCTTCCATTCGCGCCCACAAAATGGCCTGGACAAAGGGGCCAGGCTGAGAGCAGGCTGCAGGTCCCCAAGGTTTTTCTCAGCTGCCAGGGCTGTGGACTCCAGCTGGGAGCTGCAAACCCAGCTGCCTCTTCCCCAGCCCTAAAGAGCCTGCCCCGGCGGTTGTGATCCCTGGTTTTGGCCCATCAGACGAGCTGGCTGGCACTGGCTTTGTGGCAGCCGGGGCGCCACACCCGTGGTTTGGCTGTCGGGTGTGCGTGGAGCAGGCGTGCTGCGTCAGAAGGTGCCATTTGGCACGGTCACTTTTCTCGCCCCCACCTCCTGTTGGGGTCTGCAGACCAATTCACCCGCTACTCTTGCTGGGCTCCGGAGCAGCGCAGCTACCTGATGCCAGCTCTTCCACCCCAGATGAGTGGGGAGAGCCAGGGTGGGTAGGTGTGAATGGGAGATGTTGGGCTTGTGTTGGCGACTCTAAGGACCGTCCCATGCGCTTCCTTGCAGACGACCTACCAGGGCAAGTCTTCCTTCCAGACCTACTCCGACTATCTGAAGTGGGAGACTTTCTTGCAGCAGCAGCTCCAGCTCTTCCCTGACAGCTCCGCTCTCCGGCACGGATTCCAGACCTGCGAGCACTGGAAGCAAATCTTCATGGAGATCATAGGCAGGGGGCTTCAGCACCTATCCCTCTCCCTCCCCAGCACCCTGCCCTCCCGTCACCTGGCTTGGTCACAGATCTTCACCCCAATTTCCTTCTTATTCTCATGTGGTGCAGGAGCACCCCCAAACCCCAGCCAAGATCAGGCGGCCATCGTGTTGGGTGCTGTATGAACACCTGTCCAGATGCTCACTGCCCCAAGGAGCTCACAGGCTAAAGAGACCAGACAGAGCCAGGCTGGGAGGGGAAACCGAGGCCTGGAGGGAGAAGCGATTTGCCCACGGTCACCCAGCCCGTCAGTGGCAGAGCAGGGGTAGAACTTGGCTCCCCTGACTCCCACTCCATTGCCCCATCCCCTTCATCCTCCCCTTCACGTTTGCCCCAGCTCGAGTTAGTTCCCAGGTGGGCGACCTGCCCCACAGCAAGGCCCTGCTCAGCTCAGCTGGGAGCGCAGCTGTGGCTGCAGTCTGGGGCTGGAACCAGGCTGCTTGCTCTCTTCCAGGTGTGCAGAGTGCCCTTTACGGTCTCATCCTCTCGCTGGTTATCTGCGTGGCTGCAGTTGCTGTGTTCACCACGCACCTTCTCCTCCTGCTGCCGGTGCTGCTCAGCATTCTAGGTAAGACACCCCCTGATGTCTTCCACTTCAGCTTGCCAGCAGGAATCGCTGTACCGGGCTTGATTCTCCTCTCGTTTACACTGTTCACGGCACTGGAGTCACTGCTCATTTACAGCAGAGTGACTCCAGGGGGCCTGATTCTGATCTGGCTTTCGCCAGTGTAACTGCACCGGCCTCACTCCTGATTGCACTGGGAGAGAGTGGGAAGGGACTCAGGATCCGTGTTTGCAAAGGGTCCCCATCTTGAAAGTAGAATTTTCCTGTCTAGTTTCTGGAGCGTTTTCTCTACACAATCTCCTCTATTGGTTTAAATAAGGGTTTTAGCTACCCAAACTCCAGCCCTGCCTCTGGTGTATAATAATGTGATTGAGGCCCATGTGCTCTGAATAACAGTCACTCTCCTTTCCAAAGATGGGATTATAAACACGGAATATTTTAGTGGGTTTGTTAGTGTTTTAAACACATTTGTAAATAGCCTGGTTGGTGATTTGACCATATTATGGACCAAGCATGTTGCTAAACTTCCCTTTTTAAAAAGCAAATCTATCATTTGAAAATGACTTAGTCTCCCACTCATGACTCACAAATAAACATCACTTTCTTCTAGAAACCAAACACGTGCATAACTCAGACAAGCAAATCAAAGGGGTTTTGTAACATGAGTGCTCCACCCCTTCCCGTTTGGGCTGTGCCTCATTGCCAAAGGTTACTGTAGTGAGCTGTAGCTCACGAAAGCTTATGCTCAAATAAATTTGTTAGTCTCTAAGGTGCCACAAGTCCTCCTTTTCTTTTTGTAGATCAGTGGTTCTCAACCAGGGGTACACGTACCCCTGGGGGTACTCCGAGGTCTTCCGGGGGTACATCAACTCATCTAGATATTTGCCTAGTTTTACAACGGGCTACATAAACAGCGCTAGTGAAGTCAGTACAAACTAAAATTCCATACAGACAATGACTGGTTTATACTGTTCTCTATATTATGTGCTGAAATGTAAGTACAATATTTATATTCCCATTGATTTATTTGATAATTCTATGGTAAAAATGAGAATGTGAGCAATTGTTCAGTAACAGTGTGCTTAGACACTTTTCTATTTTTATGTCTGATTTTTGTAAGCAAGTGATTTTGAAGTGAGGGGAAACTTGGGGGTATGAAAGACAAATCAGCCTCCTGGAAGGTTTAGAACCACTATCAGTGGTCGGTCAGTCTGTATATCCCCATACAGAGTCAGTCGGTCTGTCTCTCTCATACGGTCCCCCATCACTCTAGTATCTGAGCACCTCACAATCTGAGAGTGTAATTTGGATTCTCAGATGAGCTGCTTGGGAATTTTTCAGCAAATTGTTTTTCACCGAACAAATAGAGATTCTTAGAAACAGAAATTGTTTGTGGAACCAGGTCCGTGTTGGAGACTCTCCCGACTTGAAAAAAGTCGTAAAAAATGAGACATTTCCAGTTTTCTGGTTCGAAAGGATTTTTTGTTTTGCAATTTAAACTAATTAGACTGAAACAAAAAAAAAATTTTTGTTTAAAGGTCCAAATCAAAATAAAACCTGTCAATCAGCTGAAATGGGAAAGGTCTGGGCCTTTTTGAGACATGAATGTTTTCGAGCTGTTGACTTTCCATCCCAACGGTAAGAATGTTCAGACGCTCGGAAAACATCAGTGCTACAGGAGGAGGGCAGCGTGCCCAGTTCTAGTTCGGGGTCTCTCTCTGTCTGATGCCGGGAGGAAGGGGTTGGCTGGTCGGAATGAGACTGGCTGGGATGCTCTGTGCTAGACAGTGGTGCACAGGGCTGTAGCTGCTTCATTGCCTTCAGTGAAGCAGCTCGGATTGATGCCCCTTGCCCAGGCTTGATCTAGCCCGAAGCCCAACTTCGCTTGCTGTTCCCCCCTCTTTGTGCAGGGGTTGTCTGCCTGGTGGTGACCATCATGTACTGGTCTGGCTGGGAAATGGGGGCTGTGGAGGCGATTTCTCTCTCCATCCTCGTCGGCTCCTCCGTCGATTACTGCGTGCACCTGGTGGAGGGCTACCTGCTGGCGGGAGAGAACTTGCCCCTTCACCAGGCAGAGGTGAGTTCCGCCCCAGCCTCTTCCTCATGCTGATGTGAGGGCATGTGGAGCCGGGCCACGGCAGGGCCTCTCTCGCATGGAGCTGGGGCGGAGGGGGCAAGCTGCAAGGAGGCTACCTCCTCCCTGCGGGGATTCCTCCCCCCATCAGCCCCAGAGGAGCTCCCTGGTGCCCAGGCTATGCCCCCGGGCTTTGACACAGGACTCAGCTGCGCTGCGACTGGCAGAGTGGTGGTTCTGAGCTGGGGCCTGTGACCCCGGGACTGGCCCCTCCCTAGTACTTTGCCCTTATGAAGACAGTCCCCGTGCTGGGGCAGTCACTGGAGTCCAGGGGCACCCTTCTCTTCCCCTCCTGCTACGGGTACGTCTACAGCGCAACCAAAACACTGCAGCACCAAGGCTCAGAGGCCAAGACGACTGGCTCAGGTGGGTCTAGAAACAGCAGCCTAGCTGTTTGGGCTCGCCTTGCAAGGAGCGGGGTCTCAGCCTGGGCTCTACGCTGCTGGTTTTAGCCCTGCGAGCCCAAGGCAGTTGGCCAGGGCTCTGAGGCTTGCTGTTGTGGGTCTTGTATTTGCAGTGCAGACACACCCTGAATGCTGTGCCTCGCTGCACTTGGCCATGCTCTTTTGGGGCAGGACAGCTGAAGGGCCAGGAGGTGCCTCTAATGCATCTTTGGCCCCGTGCACACTTTTCCCGCTCCAGGGGGACGACTGGGGCTAGGCTTCGGGGAATCTACAATGCAAGGGTCAGAGTTACATCCCTCAAACTGGAGTAACTCCGCTGGCTTCAGGGGAATCCCTCCACATTGACACTGGGGTAGTGGGCACCAAACGCTGCTTTACAGGTCTTGCCTCTGCTGGGATTGTAACCCCGGGTGCAGGCTGGCAGCCTCTGACTCGCACCAGTCTCGTGCGATCTGTACTGGTTCCACTTATCCTGGGCTGAGAGCACCTCCGCACGAGCGTCTTCTACTGCTTGCAGCTGCGCCAGGGGCTAAAAACCCCATACAGACGAGGCCCCAGCCCTCCTGTGCCTTCTGGGTGCCTTCTAATGCTGCCGTCTGCCCCGCCAGGACCCCACTTCCTGCCGCCAGTGGAGGACGATCGAAGCCGTCCGGCATGTGGGCGTGGCCATCGTCTCCAGCGCAGTCACCACGGTGATCGCCACCGTCCCGCTCTTCTTCTGCATCATCGCCCCCTTTGCCAAATTCGGGAAGATCGTGGCCCTCAACACGGCCGTCTCCATCCTGTACACCCTGACTGTGAGCACGGCCCTGCTGGGCGTCCTGGGGCCCAGCACCTTCACCCGCAGCAGGACTTCCTTCCTCAAGGCTCTGGTGGGGGTTCTCCTGGCGGGCGTCTTAGGGCTGTGCGTTTGCCTGGCCCTGCTGCAGAGTGGCGTGAAGATCCCCCTCCCCAGCGGGACGTCCCTGTAGTCCCCACACCGGGCTGCCTCCGTCTCTCTTTCGCCCTGTTTTTTTTTAAAGGATATTTTTTGTAAAAATGAAAAAAAAAATCCCTTTTTCTGGACGTTTTTTCAACTCCAGAGGCACTTTATTTTCTACTGGGTTTTGCTCTAAACTCGTATTTATTTTGGCGGTGGCGGATGGACGGACTGACAGTGCACCAGGGCCACAGTAACTCTCAGCCGCCTCCTCCTCCTCCTCCTCCTTTTTCTTGTTTGTTAATGAATGGAGGGTTTGGAGATCCTGGCACCCCACCCCCTGTATGACACCCCCCTGATGTATGCGCCATCACAGATGTTCCACTGAGGCCTTCAAAATAGGACTTAAGTGAGAGATAGGCCTTGTGAGTTTCATCCCCTGGGCTCGATCCTTGACTCGGGTAATCTACTTCTGCTGATTTACACCTGCAGAGAGTCCGGCCTTCTGAGATGAGGAGGTTTTGGGGGCGTTGGGGAAAGTCCACTGAGGTTGTCGAAGGGTCAGTGATTCCCAAGGAAGCTCCTGCTGCCACTGGTCGGTGCCCCAGCCTACGGGGATCTAGTGTGTGCACCAGCCGGGTTGGCTATCGTGGGAGTTCTTGTTGGCTGAGCTCACGTGTCGCTTTGGGGTTATCTGTCTGTTCGGTTTGGCTGGACGCAGCTGCTGGTGTGTCCTTTTCAGGTGGAGTCCCAGAGCCAAGAGCGCAGCGGGGTTTAGGGGTCCCTTTTCCTGAGCGTGTGTTGTGTGCTGGGGATGAGTTTGCCGGATACTTTATGGGCACATACCCCTGTCCTGGCGCTAAGGTGAAGCCCACAGGGTCATCTGCTTGTCGACCTGCCCCCACCCTCTCTCTTTGCCTCCCCACTTAGCCTGTGATGGCCACTCTGACGCATTCCCACCTCTGTGCCCCAGGCTCATTTTGTCAAGTGAGCCGCTTCATGGGGCACTGGCTTTGGGTCGTCAACAGCTAGATTGTCTGCAGGTAGCATCTTCTCCTCTTCACCGGGGGCACTGCAGGGGCTCGCCCCCGCTATTCTAAACACCAGCTCTAACGGATGGGCCGGGGATCCTATCTCCCTCCTGGGGCAGGGACCCTCCATAGCATTGTGCAGTTAGCTCATGGGCGTAGTTACAGTCAGCAATGCAGGGAGCAGGAATGCAGTTCCCTAATCTGTCTCTCTCCAGGCCCAGCCGTCGGCCTAAGACAGTGACAGCAGCCAGCACCAAAGTTTCCTCCCACTCATCACCTGTGCCGCTCGGCGTGGGTAACATCTCCCCCTGCCACCGCCACTGGGGAGAGAATCGTGGGCCTTCAACCCACCACACAGGCCTCTCCCACTGGGAGCAATGATGCACGTAGCCCCCGTCCCATTGATAAAGGGCGGGGCTCATCCTATGTGGCAGTTTTGATGCAGCCCCCGGCAGCTGCCTGCTTGGAACAGATGGTTTATATTAAAGTAGAATGAAATTGCAAAGTGGCGCCATTAACAAGTACATTTTTAGGCATCACTGATTTCATCATATTCTTAAAGTGGAAATAACTAAGTGTGTGCATTGATATGCGGCACATCTGTTCCCCGGCAGAAGGGGCGCGGGTCAGGCCCAATGGGAGCTGCATTAAACATTATTTACCAGGAGACGCGGCAGCAGGAGTGGGGCTGGGCTTATCATTTGTTTGCAGATACTGAATCCCTGGTGGATTCGTATTTGCTCTCTGGATTGAATGGCCCCTTTTAAAAAATGTAAGCGCCCAGTGGGATTAGATCTCTCCGTACCCCATTCGTTGCCTGGGCCGGTGACCACTCTGCTGAGCTCAGCAGCCCCTTCTGCTCGGGTTCGTGTCCCCAGCTCAGGTCCCTGGCAGAGTCCATGATAAATTAATTTCATGCATTTATTGGTGCCTTTTGAGGTGCAGGATTTTCCCTGGGAAACTGGATTTAGGACCAGACCTTACGAGGGTGCTCAGCTTCCGTTGGCTTGAACAGGAGCTGGGGGAGGGCTCAGCACTCCTCTCCTTGCAGGACTGGGCCCTTCATCCCTTTCACCCCCTGCAAATTCAGCTACCAGATTGTCTCCTGTGTGGCTCAGAAGGGACCTGCATGCTCAGAATTAGCCCAGCTCTGGACGCAGCCTGTCAGTGGTCCTGAGGCCGGGGGAAATTAGGAGCAACTCTATTGCTGGCAGAGAAGTCACGCTGGTGTGCGAGCAGAATCAGGCCCAGGGTTTTCATTACCGTGTTGCAGCTGAGTTCCTGCCACAGCTGCTTTGGCATTCAATGAATCCTGGGCCCATTAGTCATTCCCCATTAGCTCAGACTCCAGCAGGGGCAAGTTTCTGTGTCTCTGACCTGTGCTTCTCCATGGGCCTGCAGAGCCCTATGTCCCCTGATTTCCAGCGCTGCTTTCCAGGCACCAGCTTGCTCTGACGTTCCAACCTCAAGATCAATTAACTAGCGCCCCAGAGTGGCACTTGGTTGCACGGAGCATCAGTGGCAGCGTGGCTGGGGTACCGGGTGTGTGCATGTGACACAGGGAGAGGGTGAGTGCAAGGAGATGGACCTGATCAGCATCACCAAAGCGATGGCGGGTCTGACAGCAGGACTTGAACTGAGCAAATGCTTCAGCCTCCTGAGACTGATTAAAGCCACTGTTTGTTTGTTTCCAGGTCAACAGACAGACAAGAGGAGAAGGGGCCTGTGTGTGTGTGTGTGTGAGAGAGAGAGAGAGAAACAGAGACAGCCCCTGGAGAAAGTCACTCTCGCTGTGTGTGAAGGGAGGGATTGGAGTGTCTGGGTAAGGACACAGATCTGTGTCTAGCCCTGCAAACTGCTCATTAGAGCAAATGCGAGCCCAGGAGGTGGGTTTTTTTTTTTTGTTTTGTTTCCCCTCCCCGCATATACAAAGACTTCTGATGTAAGTCTTTCCCCCTCCGGATGGGGCTGAGAACTGCATGCTGGGATTGCCAGCTCAGCCACTCCTGGGAGGTGTAACAAAGCAGCTGGAAACCTTTTATATCTCTTGGGTCCAATCTGGTGAGGTGCTGGGTTTCCCTGGGGGTGGGGTTGCCACTGGAGTTTGGGAGTTGGAGGGCACTCAGGACCTAGCAGGATTAGGGGCTGTCCATAAATTATGCCATGCATTAGGGATGGGTGGGTGGGAAGGCGCTTAACCTCATGGGTTTGTTTCAGTGTCACAAGGGGTGGGCAGGTCTTGAAAATCACCAACAAAATGTGTGTAATTTATGGACAGCCCCTTGGGGCTCTCACCCTGAGTGCTGGGGCCTGACTGCAGAGAGGTTCCCATTGTTTCTCTCTCTCCCCATCCCAGCTTTAGTAGGAGAATGGGGTTTGGCTAGTGTCAGGCGCAGGATGTGATGTTCTGCTTGTAGCTTTGGAAGGTGTTCGACAGGGAGGGGGAAGTGAGAGCAAATAGCAGAATAAGTTAGAAAGTGGGGAGACTGAGGCCTCATTGTGCCAGGTGCTGTATAAATGCACAGTGAGAGGCAAAACCTACCACAGAGAGATCCATCTATGGGGCAAGACCAAGCGTGGGCTGGGGCGGGGCGGGGGGAAACTGAGGCACAAAGAGGTGAAAGCGACTTGCCCAAGATCACCCAACAGGCCAGCGGCAGAGCCAGGAATAGAATGCAGGTCTCCTGACTCCCAGGCCAGTCTATCCACTAGAGCACACAGCTCGTATCCTCTAATTCTAATATTTAACTTCACATATCAACCTGGTTTTAACAGCTCTTGCCTTAAGGGCCCAGCTGAAACATCCCGGCCCCCTCTCGCTTTTATCCAGCAACCCCGCTGACCATCAGTGTACCCGAAAGGAGAGCACAGCAGGTTCAGTTCAGCCGGTGAGAGGACGTGAGTTTCAAAGCTTGCTGTCTCCTAGCAGCACCCCGGCTGTGTCTCCCCGCAGGGCTACCTGTAAATAGCTGTCGGTGGCTCTCCCCTGTTGATGACCCTGCCTGCTGGCTGCCTTTAGGATGCTTATGCCTCCTTTAGCAAATACCACCCTAAATGTATAATGGAATGGGACCAAACCGCCCTAAAGGTGCTTCAGACCCTCCACCTCTCCCCAAGAGTCTGAGGAGAGGGCCCCTCACTGGCAAATGTGTATGCTTGGCCCCAGGGGGCCAAGGTTTGCTTTGGCCTTATTTCCTGGAACAACCCCACAGTCTCCAGATTAGAAAATGGCCCATTTGCTTGAGCAAATACAAAGGTGGGTCTGATGCTGCCATAGTGGGAATTGGAGCCCTGAAACAGCTGCTCATAGCACTGGGAATCAAGAACTGGCTGGCATGGTGCCAGCCCTTCAGCAGATGCTGTGTCTAAATCAGCCCCTCCAAACCTTCACCTGTCTCCCTCCCCTAATGGCTCCTCTGCAGCCTGCATCTGAGAAAATGCTGATTTGCCCAAGGAGAAATGTTTCCCAGAAAGATGGTTGTGGGGTTTGTTTTTGACAAATTTGTGTTTTTTAAAAAAAAAAAATCTCAAGGGAGCGTTCTGCCCCGGCGCACATGCTCTGTTTCAACCGTTGCAGCCCAGGCTGTTTTGATTTTTCCGTTTCAAAACAATTTTTAAAAATTTTATATGATGTAATCCAAAAGAACCTTAAAAAGTCATAATTGGAACAAAATGTTTAGACTTTCCCAAAGTGAAATGTGTCAATCGACCCAAAATGAAATTTTTTTCAGAATTTTATTTTGCGGGAAAATTTCAAAATTGGGTGTTTTCATTACGTTTCGGCCTAGAAAACACTTCCAAAAGCAAGGAAAACCCGGTTCCTCCCCAGCTGTAAGCAGCAGCCTCCCACCACTTGGCCGTAGGTGGGGATCGAAGGGTGTTGCTATTTGTTGTTGTTTGTATTACAGCGGCACGACTGTCCTGTGTACAGTACAAATGTAACTGTTGTTTGTGCTACCAAGAGGCCCCGAGTCAGGTCAGGACCCCATTGTGCTAGGCACTGTACGGACACACAGTAGGAGGCAGTCCCTACCTCAAAGAGCTTACAGTCTATGTTGAATGGGGTTGGGGTTGGGAAAATCGAGGGCAAGTGACTTACTCCAGGTTCTACGCTAGGTGAGTGGCAAAGCTGAGAATCGGACCCTGAGCTCACTCCTCGGCCTACACTGCCTCCCTTGAGTTACATGGTGATCTCTGCAATGAGCTGATAGTCTCAGCCCGGATCTAGGTGAGAAGTACCCATATCAAAGTTGGCCTCCTTTTGTGGCAGGTGCAGCCTGTCAGCTGCCTGGGGCATGGAGCCCGAACTCTCTCTTTGAGAGGGGTCCCCTGGCCGGTCAGTGAGGCCTGCCCCATGGTGCTGGCCCTGTCCTGTGGGGCATAGGGCACATCAGATGCCATGAAGCCAGCTTGAAAATTAAGTGTGGGGAAAAAGGAATGGAAAAAACCCAGCAGCATTTGCTGGGTGGGGGAGAGGGGGACAGGCCAACAGCCAAGAGGGGGAAGGACGAGACGGTCACTTTTGGGGGCCCTGACCTTGGCTCTACTGGAGCCAGATTGGAATAGTTGGTTTCCCAGTCTTCAAAGAGACTTTTCTGGCCCTTAATTTTCTTGCTGGAGAATCCTGCTCTCCTGGAAGGCTATAAAAGGCCTGTTATTTATCACAGCAACTGACATAAATCGTCCCGCCCTCTCCTGCAGCTTAGCCTTGCCGATTGATTTATAGCCAAGCAGGGCAAACTCAAAGCCTATTCCTTTCAAAATCACTCCTCCCAGTGGGTAGCGTTTACAGCTCAGCTCACACGTTTTAATCAGTGTGGAGCATGGAGCCTGAACGCCACAGAGCTAGGGCCCTTGCTAATGCAGTAGTGGGGGGAGGGGATACCTCAGCTAACTCCCCATCTGCCCTGGGTTAGGTTCAGAGCTGCCTCTGCCTGGGGGCAAGTGTCCGTCAAGATCCGGTCTCCTCTCTCTATTGTGAGCAGGCAGCTGACCTGCATAGGGTCCCGATCTCCCCCTCCGCTGCACCTGGGCAGTGTGGCAATTCCATCCTGGTAGGAGGGCTGCTGGGAGGGCAAAGAGATGGGAGTGGGAGGCCATGCAAGCTGGGCCGGTGGAGGGGGGAGGGGGCACGGAGGTGGGAGGGTGAGGGCTAGGCAGGGAGTTCAGACACCTTGGAGGTGGGTGGGCAGAGACTGAGGGAAGGGATGGCTCTGGGAAACGGAAGAGTGAGGAGCAAGCTAGTGGGAGGGGGTGGGCTGAGAGCGGAGGGTAGTGAGGGCAGAGGGCTGGGCTACGGTGCGTTTCACCTTGTGTGCAGACGTGAGCGCGCTGGCTCTCCGAGGGCCGAGGCACAATCCCTGATGTCATGTACCCACGTTACTTTTGTAAGTCCTCTCCTGCCCACACTACTTTTGGTGTTCCTTGACTTTTGGAGACTGTTGTAAATAAAAGATTTTGACATTCACACTGGTGCCTCCATTGGTCTGTCTCAGGGCTTGCACCACCGTTTGGAGATTGCTTGGGACCTTTTAAAAGCTCTCCGAAAACTTCAAAAGACTCTGGACCAGATTCTCCAGTGCCCTGCCCGTTGTCACCATTTACACCAGTGTGACGTGCATGCCAGAGTGCCCTCTGATTTACTAGTGTTTCACACCTACGCAGTGCTGCCATTGTACTGGTGTGAGTGGTTCCATGAGTGTCAGCACAAGATCTAGATCTGAGGCCTTCAGCGTCTCAGCCCGAGGTTCTGAGCCCATTACAGGAGTGGGTGGGTGTGGTTCTGTACCCTGTGGTGTGCAGGTCGTCAGATTAGCTGATCATGATGGTCCCTTCTGGCCTTAAAGTTTGTGGATCGGGGCCTGATATTGGTTGCCATGCTCCATAGCTGGCTATAATTCCCTACGGATTGTGCTGGCTGGGTGGAGAGTATTTAACCGCAGTTGAGGATCTTGGTAAGAAAAGACAGGCCCCCTCAATCCTTAATGGTGGTGGCTGATGACCATCTTATACAGTGAGGGGCATCTTCTCATAGGATGATAGCAGGGAGCTTGTCTGCTGCTGTCCACCGTGTTTTATTACCCAGTTACCTGGTGAAGAACTGCTGGTCACAAGCACGTGGTGCAGCCTTGGCCTCTTCTCTCCTTAACATTCACGTCCATCCCCAAATTGTCCATCTCCTCAAAAGAAAGTAAAAGATTGTCACTCCTTTTTGACACGAGCAGCTCGTCAAAGTTCAGGGCCCTGGGGATGTTCCGGTGGGAAGGAGAAATTGATGGCGTCTGGTATTTTCTTTGATGCAATCTTCTTTAGTTTCAAGGACTGTACAAAAGTCCCGTGTCTCTGCATGGAGAAAACACCAACATCAAGAAGAGCAGTGTCTTTGCGTACAGCCCCCAAGCCTCTCCAGTCAACACCAGACTCCAAAGCACTCGCCCTTGTTTTTTCCAGGGTCACAGCTCCTGCCTCTGCCTCTTGTCTTCTCATTTCTGGTTTCTGTGAGTTCTCTCATACACCCACCCACCTGTGGTCCCAATACCCACTCGAACCCTTTGCCCACATGGTGCTAGTTTCTGGGCAGACTCTGTGGGTATGTCTACACAGCAAAGAAAACCCATGTCTGGCCCTTGCCAGCCAACTTGGGCTTGCAGGGCTGGGGCTGCAGGGCTGTTTCATTGCTGTGTAGACTTCTGGGCTCGGGCTGGAGCCTGAGCGCTGGGACCCTCCCACCTCACAGGGTCCTAGAGCCCCGGGGTCAAGCCCACGTTTGGAAGTCTGCACAGCAATGAAGCAACCCCAGAGCCTGAGCCCCGTGAGTCCAAGTTGGCTGGCGCAGGCCAGCTGCAGGTGTCCAATTGCTGTGTAGACATACCCTGCTAGGCTTCATTTTAGGTGTGGCCCCTTAACTGTCTCTCACAACTCTCTTAAGTGGAGGACCCTCAGTTTGGATGAGGTTTTTAACAGCCCGTTACAAGGTTTCACCCAGCTCATAACAATATAACACGGAGCTCAACAACAGCCACGAGATTCATCCAACAATCTCCAAGCACTGTCTGAACCTCAGTACAGCTTCACAGCCCCCTCTGGGAAGTAGATATTCTTCCCCTTTCAAAGGGGGAAACTGAGGCACACAAAGAGCTCAAGTGACTTGTCTGACGTGCCAGAGCTTGGCCCACAGCCCAGATCTGCTGACTTTCAGTGTGGTACTGAAACCCCCAGGCTCTGTATCCAGTGAACTCAGCAATGCCCCTTTCCCTGGCAGGATGAGAATAGGACACGGCTGCACTGCCGAGTTACCCTGAGCTCTTACCGGGGTTTATGAGCATAAGAGAACTCACTGCACTGTTGACACACAGAAACCTTGTACCTGGGTTTGGAGGTGCTTTATGCCCAGGGTAGTTTACCCAGCTTTGGGGGTGGGGGGTTAGAGCCTAGGCTCTGCTTTAACTTTGTCTGGTGCTTTCCCCTCCCCCAATTTTGCAGTGGGGACACAGGCTAACTAACTCCAGTGCTAATAGTCCTCCAAAGCACCCCCACAGGCCCCAGATGGAAAAATAACATCTCTCACGCTTGACAGAGAACGAATCCTAGCGTGTCTCAGCACAAAGCACTGTGGGAAATGCCCCCAGGCAGGCACAGGTGAGCAGAGAACCTGAGAGGACCCAGAGATGGGGGTAGAGCTTTGCAGTGGGGCTGTTCCCACACCTGGCCTAGGCTGCAATCACCTGAGTTCGCTGTGCAGCATAGCCGTAGTCCTGGGGGTGGGCGTTGGGCAGGGGAGCGTAGCACAGAAGAGAACCAGATAGTTCACTCAGCTGACTGCCCCTGATGCCTTCCTGACTATGAGAAGCAAGCCCTTCAGGGCAGGAAATGCTAGCAGACCAGGACAGCCGGCTCCCCTGGGTATACTCTGACCAGGAGGAGGACTGCATTGGGATGGGAGTCTTGGAGGGCAGGTCACTCCTTCACCTAGTGACCGGGTGTCACGGGCATAATGAGCCCTAGTGCTGGTGTGGGAGATTCAGTCATTGTCCGGCCAGGAAGACTGACTAGCTTTAATGAGGCACAGTGCCAAAGACCTGGGTGAACCCAGCCCCCTTCCGCTACAGCCTTTCTCTTCCAACACGCTGTCCTGCAGCAGGGAAGTGCTTGAAACAGAGCCGGAGGCCCATGGACACGGCAGTGTCATCATGAGGAGCCCACGGTGCCAAAAGCCCCATGCAGGAGAAATGTCTCAATTCTGTACACAGGACGGTGCCCTGAAGTCATTGGCTCCTGTGGGGGAAACCTGCCTGCTCCCTCCCACTGAGGCCCTGGAGGAAAGTCCCAGTGACTTAAATGGGAGGCGGATTTATGATAAGAGGCGAAGGAATGTGGCTCTGCCCTGCTGAGAAAGGGCCTGGGGCCTATAACGAGGTGGCCTGTCTTGTTGCAGGTGGTGGGAGGAGCCAAACCCTTGGGGACTACAGGTATCCACCCTTCTGCAGGAAGCAGGTGGGACATGCTGAGCTGGGGGGGAAGCTGCAGGGAGATGGGGCCTGCGAGGCCCCAGGAGGGAAGCACACGCTGCTGCTTCGAGTCTGTGAGTAGCTCCTGGATTGCCCCTCGCTTTGGTGAGACCTGCTCAGGTGCAGTGACTCCCTGGCCGTGGGTCTAACCACGGGGCAGGTGGGGGGAGAAAGGCACGTGGGTGAGCTGGGCTGGTGCCTGAAGTGACCCGGTGCTGAGTCTCCTTTGCAGAGTGGCGTGGCGGGTGGGAAGGGAGGCGGCTGTGTCTTGCTGGACAGTGAAATCGGATTTGTGTGAGGGAAGAAGGGTGGTAGCTGGGGGAGGGGCATGGCTTTTATGTCAATGGGTGCTCTGCCCAAGCAAGGGCTGAGAGGGGGCTTCAGGGTTTTGCCCCCGTGTTAATAGTGAAGATCAGCAAGTATTGACACCTGCTGAGCACGATTGGGCAGCAGCTCCTTGCCTGTCTGACCCTCTCCTTCCCTCCTCCTGAGGGCAAGGGTAGAGAGTGCTGGGTAAGTCGGGACCTTCTTAGCGTGCTAGGAAAGTGTGTTGTCTCTGTCTGCCCTCTCCTGCACCTTCAGTTTCTGAGGCCTTCGCCTCTGTGAACAGACAGCAGCTGTTCTACTCTCCTAGCTGCTGCATCTCTCTCATGGGGCTTCTGCTTGGTTCTTGGTACAGTCGAACCTCCGAGAGACGAGCCTCTGGGGAATCGAGGTTGTTCATAACTCTGAAATGTTCATAATGCTGAACAAAATGGTCTGGTTCTTTCAAAAGTTTACAGCTGAGCATTGACTTACTACAGTTTTGAAACTTCGCAGAAGAAAAATGCTGCTTCCCCTTTGGTTTCTTGGTAGTTTATGTTTAACACTGTACTGCACTTGCTTTGGGGGGGTGGGGTGTCTCTGCTGCTGCCTGACGGTGCACTGTCAGTTCCGAAGGAGATGTGTGGTCGGTTTGTAACTCTGGTGCTCGTAACTCTGAGGTTCTGCCGTATTCCTGCCATGCCAATAGCATGGCTGCTTTCTGTATACGAAAACAGAATCTGGGCCCCTTTGACTCGTGGTTCTAAAGGTGCAAAATCTACCTTTTGCTGAAGGATTGCACTCCACAACCTAAGCTTTCTATCCCCAATGGTCATTCAGAAGAGCTTCCACATATGGTTTGAGCATTGGCCTGCTAAGCCCAGGGTTGTGAGCTCAAGCCCTGAGGGGGCCATTTAGGGATCTGGGGCAAAAATTGGGGATTGGCCCTGCTTCAAGCAGGGGGTTGGACTAGATGACATCCTGAGGTCCCTTCCAACCCTAACCTTCTATGATTCTATTATATGAATTGCGTGTGACTGAGGCCTGCCTGAGTCTGCAGGTGGCTTGAAAACAATGGCTCCATGAGTGAAATCCAGTGGTGCAGGTTTCACTGTCTGCGGTGTTAGCCATTTCACTGATTTATTTTAGCATCCCATGATTGTCCTCCCTTTGCAACCCCAAACTGGCTTCCCCGCCTTCCTGGGTGCCCTCAGCCCCAACTGCCCCCTCCTCAAGTTTAAACCCTCTGGCTTCCTCTCTGACAACTTGCTTAAAACAAACCTGTGAATTCTGCAGCAGGCAGAAAATTAAAAATGTAGAGAGCAGTGTAGGATAAACAGCATTGAACAACGTTAAATACCAGCAGGCAGAGGGGTGCTGGTTGAGTTATTCATTCTCCTGTTTAATTCAATAAAACCCTCTGTCTCCTTAAAACGGGTAAGAAGCTGCCACTGACTCTTGGGCGTGCTGCAGGATATAGAGCAGTGGTTCTCAACCAGGGGTATGTGTACCCCCGGGGGTACTCGGAGGTCTTCCAGGAGGTACATCAACTCCTCTAGGTGTTCGCCTGGTTTTACAACAGGCTATGTAAACAGCGCTAGTGAAGTCCGTACAAACTACAATTTCCTACAGACAGTGACTGGTTGAGACTGTTCTC